CAGACAACCTCTCGTCAATATGCGTTTTTCGCATTGCATTGCTGCAAAAAACGCATAAAAACGCGTTTTGGTAGCGATAAGGACAATTTTTATGAAAAACGCGATGAATACTAGTCGGAGGTATGCGTCCTAAGAACACAGCATTGATCATTAATTTTATCCGGTGTATGGAAGCATCACAGTAACGTATCACTAACATGGGATGCACACACTGATAGCCTGGGCGGTTTTGATATTCCTGATAAAACAACACGTGTTCCCTTCAGTTAAGAATAATTATGCCATTACTTATGAATGTGCTTGCATATTTTATTGTATGTATGTGTCTGTCTACTGTCTGTCGTCTTGTGTGCGGTTGATTCAGGTGGGAAATGTCGAAGCAAAAAAAATAGAAATTCCGGGAACACTGCTTGCAGTCAGAAACAGAGCCGCAAATTTAGTCGATTTTCAGGATTTTTTCGGTGCTGATATTTGCACCCTATATTCAACTTCGGTTTAATTTCGCGCCGTAATTTTTTTCTTTTTTTTTGCAACTTCTGACTTTTTTCGTATTTTTTTGTGCCGAATTAGTTTTTTCTCAAGAATGAAATTTTAGGGGTTTAGAATTTCGGACTTTTGGGTGTACTTCTTTGCCAAGAGGTTTCGAAATTTACTAAATACTGATCAGTTGCTAAAAGTCCAAATTTAAGAAATGGATCATGAATCTCAAATTTCTGTAATCTACAACCTCTAGTAGTTCAAAAAGTTGCTGACGATTTAAAGCAACGGGATTTTCCACTTACTGACATCCCTGCTTTCTGAATACTCATGTTAACACTAATCCTCGAATGTGTACTGCTGTTCACATCCCTGAATTCCTGACTCTTATACTTGCTTTACTGCTTCATCATTGATTTATACAAATTTTCAGACATTTACGATTTTAGCATCGAATTCTTTCACAGAATACAACATGTATAACTTGCCTGCGGAAGATGCAGCACAAACCAGCGTATCTGCTTCACGGTAGAATGAAACATCATGTATCGAATAACGTGTTTTTTGAAATCCCTCACAAAAAAACTGATTAATAAACAAAAAAATCCAGTGAAGCTAAATAAGAGATTTCAAATTAGAAAACGTTGCTAGATCGATCAATTTCGAGCCTCTAGTTGGTACTGATATGTAAGCACAACACACACAATGTTACGGATTTCATCGAAAAAGCTGGCGAGAATTAGTAAGTGTGCGCTTCCTGTGGTAGCAGCATTAGACACTTCTGAGTGGTATTGGTATGTTTGTGAGCGGTACAAAAATGGTGCGATTGCTGAGTGGAAGATTAGGACCGGTAGCGTAATGGATAACACGTCACGATTCAAAGAATTCGGAAACAGCGAAAAGGAGCGGTTCGATTCCCTATCGGTTCATGCTCATCTACAAAAAAGCCTAAGTTTGCGAAACACACTCCGATCTCAGCTGTGCAAGACAATCCAATTCTGGACTATCTGCCTTCGCTTATCAGTCATCGTTTTAATCTCATATATCACATTTCTGAAATGTTTATCAAGTAAAAGTCATTAATGGATAAGTAGTGAGCCAAGATCATTGTTGGTGTCCAAGTGAAGTGAGCACTTTGTAACAGGTACCTAGTCTTTGAAACTTGCTGAAGGCTGAAGCATCTCACGTACTTAGCTGTCTTGCTTCCGGACACTTGTTGAGGTAGAACATCTAGCAAACTTCTTTTGTATCGGCCACTGAGATCACAGGCAAAAAAGTCTAGAAGAGCGTACTTTTTAATTCACAATACAAGAGTCATTTTCTGTTGTCTACCAAGAGTGACCAGTTGCCTTGCCGTCCACTTTTCTTATGTAGCCCCGTTTTTAATCTTCCCTGGAATGTTTAATTATGTATGCAATGGATGAAGCTTCTACTTCACGAATATTCGATTTCATGCTTGTGCGTGAATGTACATGGACGGATTGGACTGAATGTACAGAACGATGTGGCGGTGGATACAGACAACGGAGACAACGATGTTTTCCCGACAAACACTGCGATTCGTCGCCCTGTGCAACCGACGAAAACGCGTTGCAGTTCGATGCATGCAATAACATGCCCTGTAATGGTAAGCATTTCCATAACATAAGTTGTGAATCCTGAACAAAAGTTGTGAATTCATTTTGGTTCACTACTACTTGATGGACCGAAACATTCCTGTTCCTTTAATATATATATATACACTTTATACATATCATCATTGATACCTTTCTTATAACGCATCCAGCATCCTCCTAATTTTAATACTTATAAGCTCTGAAAGCTGAGAAACATGGGGAAAGGGCTTGTTTATGTTGTCATCAAGATTCACTACTTCACAAGTAAACGGATTATCTGCGAGGAATGGCACTTCGTCTTTACAGAGGTACGACGATATAGCGCTTGGGGACACTGGCTTTCGCTCAATGAAAACACGGAAATTCGATATCGAGCAAGCTGTGGCGTCGAAATCCCGGATCCCACGTCAATTCGGGTGAGAAACATTCGTGCCAGAGTTCGCGACACTGCCCGGTAGTTAAGCAGAACTGTATAAACATTTTTTACGTACGGTTTCGGTTAGTGTTTACAGCTAACGGATGAAACCAGACTGCATCCTAACATTTCTTGCGTATGACACTTAATCCAGTCCCCTTTGCTCTACTATTTTAGGCGATGCTTCACGCATCAAAACGACTACGGCAACGTGAATGGCTGGAATGGAGTGATTGGACAGCATGCAGCGCAACATGTGGAAACAGCTTAAGAAGTCGCTGGCGATCCAGGAGGGGATTGGTACTCTCTTACAGAAATAGTGTTGAGTATCTTGTCGAACCATGCGCTATACCGGCATGTGATTTTGGTAAACATTATCATTTTTGCCATTAATTTTTGAACGCCGAAAGTTTGATGCAAACTATAAGAGCTGAAATAGTCTTCAAGGGCTGCCTCAGCAAGTGGATAAAGAAGCGAGGAGAGGAGGAGGAGGATGGAAACAGAGATAGATGTCATGATTCTTCACTTTTTTTCGAGAATCGGTGATATCTCAGTGTTTTCGCTTATTTTATCAAAAATCGTTTGGGAATCTCATGTTAGTGATGTTAAGGAAAGGCTTCCATACGACGATTCTAGCTGAGCAAATTCATTGTTCTTGGTATTCACTCTAGAATTGTTAAAAATCACTCTTTTGATTTTTTTTAAATTGCTTATCTCGAAAAATTACCGAATCTGTATGTAACGAAGATTTCATAAAATGCGCCTTCTAAAAAAAAAAAAATCTAATCAGTTGTGATTTCGCAGGCGATTTCGTAGAATGGAAAGATGAGCACAACATTTGGTGGAGAATTCGAAAATGTTCGGTGACGGATATATGCCCGCCTAAAAACGGTATGAAACCTACGGTATGAAAGCTCGTTACGGTATGAAACTCCATTTTTATGCGTTTTTGCTGTGCAGCGCTATAGCGCTATAGCGCTGCTACAGCCAGCAAAAA